CTTAGGGCTGCATAGTATTCCATGGTGTACATATACCACAATTTATTGATCCATTTGTGGGTCACTAGGCACTACGCAATTTTAATTAATCTTTTTAAGTGGTTACATGAGATGACTATACATGTATATACTTAATTTGTTGGTTTTAAATGTTATCTTTCAATGCATCCTCCCCTATTAAAAATCAGAAACTCAGCAAACAAATTCTTTCCTACTAGTTTTCCCCTTCCTTTCCCAGTTTTATTTAAATGTTCTTTTACATTCCAAGTTTACAGCATTCAACTCTTTCCTGAGATCCAATCCCCTCATTAGTTTTCAGCTTATTTCTCAGTTAAATAAATTCAATATTCACACATGGTTTCTTGGTGAATCATCTTTTACCATCTCTTAAAGTTCATCTTCTTTGAAATGAGTTTATGAGACTATTCCCCGTATTTTTGTACATTTCAATTTACTTTATTTTTATTACATTAGCTGAATGACATTTCACCTACATTTAAAATTATTGGGATTTACTTTTATTCTTTAAGGGTTCTATAATTCTTTCTCTACTATTTTATGAATGCTAGTATGAACACCTGAATTTAGCTAATTTTCCCCCAATTACAAATTACTTCTGTGGTGGGGAGGGGGTGGAAGACTGAAAAAAAAATCTTTCTTTAAAAATCTAGCAACTTCCCTAGGATGTCAGAGTGATAACCATTCATAGTTTTTTTCCTTTTCATGCACACTCAAATCTTCATTTATATCAGGAAATTTTCCCTCAAATAGATCTTTAAATATTTTTCCTATTCAATTATTGTGGCTTTCTCATGTGAGGACTGAATTATGCATATGTTGACTCTCCTTTTCCAGTCTTCCCTATGTAATCTTTTATAACTTTTTATGTTTTCCCAGCTTATTTTGGTCACTTCCTGTATTTCTGTCCTCTCAGTTCCTCACCAGCATTTTCAATAACCTGATGCCACTTTCTAATTTCACACATTTTACTCTTGAGATATTTTTTCTTCTAATTCATTTCTGGGCATTGGTAAATTCCTCCTGTAGTTACCAGAGATCTCTTCAGTCTCTCTTTTTATGAAAACATCCCACCCTAACTTTTTACAAGCAGGATTTTACACTGAAATCTTTTTTTTTTTTTGAGACTGAGTCTCACTTTGTTGGCCTCTGTAGCGTGCTGTAGCATCATAACTCACAGCAACCTCAAACTTCTGGGCTCAAGTGAGTCTCTTGCCTCAGCCTCCCTAGTAGCTGGGACTACAGGTGCTGCCACAATGCCTGGCTATTATTATTATTATTATTATTATTATTTTAACTGGGACTACAGGCGCTTGCCATAACGCCTGTCTATTTTGTTGTTGTTGTCATTGTTGTTTAGCAGGCCCAGAGGGTTCGAACCCACGAGCCTTGGTGCATGTGGCCAGCACCCTAACCACTGAGTGACAGGTGCTAAGTCAATGCTACTTTTAGAGATAGGGTCTCACTTTTGCTCAGGGTGGTCTTGAACTTCTAAGCTCAGGCTATCTACCCAACTTGGCCTCCCAAAGTGCTAGGATTACAGGTGTGAGCAACCGCACATGGCCTACTAAAATCTGATCAGCATTTATTTGTCTCAGAAAATCTCTGAGACAAATAAAAGTTTCTTTTATCCTCATACTGGTACAAAAACCAATACTTTATGCAGCTAAGACTTATGTACATGATGTTTCCACCCCAAATCCCAACCACCTCCTCTACTTTTCAAAACCAAGGTGGATTATGGGGAAGCTCCTGAAGCTATCTTATGCAATATCCTCCTCATGTTTTAATAAGGAGCTATAAAACTCATGCACCTCAGGGTATATGCCTCATCCTTATGAAGTCCCTTAGGCTTCCTTTTGGGATCAGCTGCCCTGGAACTCGCTCTCTCTGGTTGCAGGTGCATGCATGCCAGGTTGAATTTTTTTTCTTTTTTTTTTTTTTTTTTGCAGTTTTTGGCCAGGGCCAGGTTTGAACCTGCCACACTCTGGTATATGGATATGGGGCCAGCGCCCTACTCCTTTGAGCCACAGGCGCTGCCTGATACTATAACTTAAAACATATACTTAACTTACATAGTAATATCACTCCAGTGTATTTACCCTGAAAGAAATGAAAATTTATGTTCTCTCAAAAACCTATGTGTGAATGCTTATAGCATTTCTGTCTCTCTCTCTTGATATACATTTTTTTTCTTTTTTTTTTAAAGACAGAATCTTACTCTGGCACCCTCGGTAGAGTGCTGTGGCATCATCACAGCTCACAGCAACTTCAAACTCTTGGGCTCAAGAGATCCTCCTCCCTCAGCCTCCCGAGTAGCTGGGACTACAGGTGCCCATCACAATGTCTGGCTAGTTTTTCTAATTTTTTTAGTAGAGACAGGCC